AGATCATGTTCCATGAAGATATTTAGTAAATTTCCTACCGTAAATATATCAAAACTTAGTTTTTGATTAGTAATATGCATTGCTAAGAACTTCATTTGAACAACTTTAAAGATGATTTTCTCAATATTTAGATTTTTTTGCACCCTCAGATTCCAGATTTTCAAATAGTTGTATCTCAGCCAAATATTGTCCTATCCTAACAAACCTTACGTCAATGGAAAGCTTATTTATTCAGCTCTTATGACGACAGGTTTTGTGGTCCAGGGTCACATATTTTGGTCAAAATCCCATGCTATAAAAGATGAAGTGCTATGTAGGCTTCACCGTTCCCACATCTCAGACCTCAAATACATAAAATACTACCCTTTTTGACATAGTTTTTGAAGTAAAAAGTAAAGAAAATACTATAAACAACTTTATTTACCCTTGCAAGACCCCCTCATAAAAACACTTTCTCACTGGATCTAAGCAAATCTCATAGGTGACCTATTTTGATCTTAAAAAAGTGAGTTGTCACTGAAAGGTGAGGAGTTTGCATCTATGCACCCGTCTCGGAGATGTTATTTTACCCTGCACTGATTCTGGAGAAATGGGACAAAACAGGGTTCAAAATTGAAAAAAATAAAACCTTGTTCTCAGACAAATTAAACTATATTTATGCGTCTTATATGTACTAAGCTATGCTTTGATACAACCTCCCAGCTTTTCTCTTTTTTTATCAAAATGTGCTTTTTACCTTGGACGGTGTAATAATATAATTTCAACTTTATCTTTAACAGCAATCAAGACGTCTTTAACATTTCAAAACACATTCTCATGTAAGCAGACAGATTACACTTTCACATGTGACCAACACTTCCACAACAAATATAAAATACCATAATGAAATATTATCAAAATATTCAACTGACGGAGGTGACGAAAACCTGAATTTGTAGTCATTTTAACTATCAAATACATTGAATCGTTCAATTACTGTATTAAAAGAAACACAACAAACAGGGAGTATGTTATGGTTTATAAAGCTTTTATCAAGAGTCACATTTAAGTGTTTTGATATATCATTGGGACACAAACTCTTATGGTGGTGAAATCTGATGGTGTTGACAAATTTGGCATTTCTTTCACAAAACAAATGGAGTTCATGTAGTAGCCATTTCTGTTGACGCTAGATGCTAAGAGAACCTGCTTCAGGAGAATAAAATGATCTAAATATTTCAAATAATTTCCTCGGAAATTGGAAGATGGGGTTGACGTATCATGGTTGAGACAGGAAATATTAACATTAGGATTTAAAATGTTCTAAAACCATAAAACTGACCAGAGCCTGTCTGACACTGATGTACTCTGCAGAGGTGAACGTGGCAAGGGTGGTTCCCAACCCTGGTCCTTGAGGCACCCCAACACTGCATTGCATGTCTCCTTAATCAAACACACCTGATTCAGGTCATCAGCTCATTAGTAGAGACTTTAATACAGGGGTCACCAGACTCAGGCTGTGTCCGAAATCGCCCCCTATACCCTTAAATAGGGCACTATTTGAGGGAACAGCCATTTTTAGTGGTGTAACCATAGTGGACGTTCTCGAGTGCACTCATTGCAAAAACGAGTGTACAACTGGTGCACGCTCAACGGCTAGAGAATTCCCATAATGCACCGTGAGAGTCACGCGCCGAATGAATTCCCGCATCTCGCCAGAAGACGGCGCCCGCAGCCGAATAATCAATCCGTTCATTTTTACGAAGCGCTCATCCATGGCATACAGCATAACATGTACAACACAGGTATAAATTAATTGTAAATTGATTATTAAATTGTTTGATTGGGGTTTATACATAATTTCCATGACAGAGTTCACGATAAATCCTTTAAACTTACTACTGGAGCTGCTAGTTTCGAATGATTAATAAACCGCAAGCACAAACTACGCAAAAGCGGCATTCCTTCCGGTGCACTCAGTGTCCGAATTCACTACTCGTTTACATTCACTCCTTCTATTTATTGTATTTAGTTATTTAGCAGACGCTTTTATCCAAAGCGACTTACAAAAGCAAAGGGTCTGAATATTTAGGACCATGTGATATTTCAGTTTTTCTTTTTTAATACATCTGCAAAAATGTCAACAATTCTGTGTTTTTCTGTCAATATGGGGTGCTGTGTGTACATTAATGAGGAAAAAAATTAACTTAAATGATTTTAGCAAATGGCTGCAATATAACAAAGAGTGAAAAATTTAAGGGGGTCTGAATACTTTCCGTACCCACTGTATATACACACACATAAATTATTATCTGAATTATCTTCTAGTGAACTGAATTAGTGCCTAATGTAGGGAATAGCGAATGAGGGAACAGGGAGCGGTTTCTGACACGTCCTCAGTCCTGGAGGGCCGGTGTCCTGCAGAGTTTAGCTCCAGCTTGCCTCGACACACCTGCCTGGAAGTTTCTAGTATGACTAGTAAGAGCTTGATTAGCTGCTTCAGGTGTGTTTGATTGGGGTTGGAGCTAATCTCTGCAGGACACCCGCCCTCTAGGACTGAGTTTGGGCACCCCTGCTTTAAGACCTGAAATTGGTGTATTAAGGAGACACGCAAAACGTGCAGTGTCGGGGTGCCTCAAGGACCAGGGTTGGGAACCACTGCGTTAGAGCGACAGCTGCCCCTGATATTCATTTTAATGCATTTTTTTTCCCAATTCAATTCAAGTTTATTTGTACAGCGCTTTTCACGATGCAAACCATTGCAAAGCAGCTGTACAGCAAATTAAGTTCCTGCAATATTTAGTGGCTGACGGTGTTGACACAAAGTGGGGACACAACTTTGAACCCTTATGAAACATGCACGTGTCACTGAGAAACAACCTTGCTTTTTAATATGAGATATTATTAAGTGCACTCTTTTGATAAAACAAGGTCTTTGTCAAAACATTGTATCCATATGGACACACTGTTAAGACGCAGTGAGAAGACAATAAGTGTCATAGATTAAATTGAATGGGGGTAATTGTGTTAAACGCATACTGTTATTAATCCCTCATAACATTTACAACTGAAAATGATATGTTTAAACCTAACAGCAGCAGCGGCTGGAGAACCGGGGCGGGGTTACCTGTCTCAGAGCCCGCAGGAAGCCGCTGTAGTCCGCCTCCGAGATGTCGACGGCCCGCGGCGGCGCGGCGCTGCTCTCCGGTCTGCAGTCGTACACACACACCGACCTCCGCGGCTTCACGTCCCGGTTCCTCTCCGCTCCGGTCTCGCTCATCTTCGTTTCGTCACACATCACCGGCGACCTCTGACACATGATAACAAAACAAAACAAGACAATAGCGAGCTCACCGCTTCGCCTCTGACATGTTTATCTTCCGATTCAGATGTGTTGTCTGTTGTCCAGCGGTCTAATATTCAGTCTAATATTCAAGTGTAACGTGTTGAATTTATGAAGTGTGTAAATTTAAAGATTTCGCGCCAGGATTATCGACCCAAACTGCGTCTTTCTGCAGCAACATTAGTTCTTCTGTGACGGTTGGTGACGGTTGGCACTCAATCTTACAGAACAAACTCCGCCCCCTACTGGGATGGAGTGTGAACCGTTAAAACGTAATTACATTAAAAAATTAATTAATTAATTAAATAAAAAAATCGAATGATTATTAATAATGATAATAAATACATATAAAAATTAAATATATATATATGATTGTATTATACATAATTTGTAGTAATAGTAGTAGTTTTAATAATATTAATAAATAAAAGATTTATATATGTAATTATAGAAGAGATAAGTATAATTTGATTATATATAAATTCGTATATATTTATTTAATATACAAAATGTAAAAATGTATTATATATAATTATATCAGAAATATATAAAAATAATCATAATTATGATAATAAAGACATATAAAAAATATTTTTAAATATATATATATATATATGATTGTATTATACATAATTTGTTGTAATAGTAGTAGTTTTAATAATATTAATTAAAAAAAATATATATATATATATGTAATTATAGAAGAAGAAATATGTATAATTTTATTATATATAAATTCTTATATATTTATTTAATATACAAAATGTATTATATATAATTATATAAGAAATATATAAAAATGTATAATAATAAAAATAATTTATTTGTAACGTTATTTTTATTATATATATAAATCATTAATTATTTTAGATTAAAACGATCAAAATTGTGTAATAATAATTGTATTTTATTATATATAAACCAATATACCATTATTTTATGGAATATATAATTATATACAATTAAGTTAATAACATTAAGCATTTCAATATCCATCATGGCACCGAGTCGACACACGATAGGCCTATACAATCTTCAACAGGTTATGAATGTTTCCGAGCTTGTATCACTAAAGAAAACGAGTTGCTGAATTAATATTACATAGGCTACTTGGATGGTATAAATCACGTTTTAGTGCAAGTTTAATATTCACATACACTAGTCCATATATTTTGATTGAAGTGCACTGAATTGCATTTGATTCAATATTTGACGAATTCTGTGACATTACTCGTTACACAGTAAACTTGTGTAGCATTTTGAATGTACAAAAATGAAAGGGTTTGTTTAATTTTCATTGGAATAAAAGATAGATTCATGCTTTTGCCTTCATTTGATTACCAGAAAAAGTCAAATACACAGAATTTCTAAAAAATAAGTCAATAAAATTTAAATTTCATAAGGCCCTATTATTGTATACAAATTAATAAATTAAGTTGTTTTTAAGAGTTCAATTAATTAGATATGTTTTTGATTCAAGCATTCAAATGGAATACAGAAAAATTAAAAAGGAAAGCACAGAATTTGGGCCCTAAGAAAGTAATTTTTGTTAAACTTTTAATAGGCCTAAATTGCTGTTAAATTAAACAAGTTTCATTATTTTAATTAATTAGACATGTTTTTTGTTCAAATTTAATATAATCATCCACAAAAATTAAAACGAAAAAAAAAAAACTGAATCCAGAAAATAATTTTTGGGGGAAAATAAAACTTAGGCTAGGACCTTCATAGGACCATACAAATATCATGCATCTGAAACTATAATTTTAATACTAAGCAACAATGCATATTATATAGGGCCTATTTAAAAATTTTTACACACATTTTTTTGTGAAAGACCCAAGAAGGACCATGCACCGTCACTTTCCACAGACACACTTCATGTTTGGTTGAAATAATCCTTAAGCATGTAAATGTATCATTTCCTTCAGTTTAATTTAAATGTGCAATTTAAGACAGCCTTGTGTTGTGTAGACAAGTGCATAGTGAAAATCACCCCAACGCACCACCTAGTGTCCAACCTCCTCTAATACTATTATAACCTGTTTAAATGTGAACAAGGGATTTACAGCACTAAAGAAATCCTTTATTTATAACATCTACATGAAAAATCTAAAAGATTGGACACAACTGTGGGACACGCTCGTGCAGCAGCGAGCAACAGTGAAATTAACCTCAAGGTTGTAGATGTGTGAAATTGTATAGGGTCCCATTCCTGTATTTTGCCTGGGGCCCCCAAATCACTAAATCCGCCCCTGCTCTGAGGAATATTTAGTGTTTCTGTTCAAAATATCAAATATATCTGATCTTACAAGTTTTGTGCCTTTTTTATATCTCCCCATCATACAGTGTGAGAGAGCCAAGTCTGACTACGCCAATCCGGTCTCACCAGAAATGAAATCTTGCATTGTCTGTGGTCATTCTTCATCTGACCAGCACCACTGTGACTGTGAGAAAGTATGTGTTATCACTATGTTTTGAAAAGGTTCCCTGAGTTGACTTAAAAAGCGCTTCAACCTTGAGGGAGTGTGGAGCCCGGTCTCATGAAAATGCGTATAAATAGTACAAAAAAAAAAACAAAAAAAACAAAAGATCTCTATGTTGTGCACTGGCTGCTGTTAGACAAAAATCTCACTGGATAATTACAATTAACGGCAAAATGAATGTTTGGAAATGTAATCCGATATTTCCTACTGACACACTACAGCAAAATATAGAAATAACTGACTTTAAACCATTTTTAGCTGGTGAAAATACTAGTGTTTTAATCCTGTACACACGCACGCACACGCGCACACACAAAATAAACATGTATTAAATATAATTATATAAAAATATCTCAAATTAATAATAATAAAAATACAATTAATTTGTAATATTATTTTATTATATGACTAAATAAATTATTATTTTAGATAAAATAAATTATTAAAAGATTTGATAATGGTAATAATAATAATACATCATTTGAATGTATTAATTTAAAATATATGTAATTTATATATGTATAATATATAAAAATATACAAAGATTTTATTGTATATAATCATATCTCACGGTTATTCTCCACACTAGTCCATTCGGTGGCGGTAATGCACCGAAAGCTGGCTTGCAAACCGGCAGTCAAACGTTACTAGAAGAAGCAGCAGCACACATGAGATGAGATGAAAGTTCCTTTCAAGGATAAGTGTATCTATAGTCTTTGGATGAGATCAAACAGTCAGAATAACTTTATATGATTCTTCTGTAAATGTCTGTTGTGTGTGCTGGACTCCTGCTCTCACATGAGGGTCTGCAGCACTGTGTTTCTTACAATGATGGGCTTAAAAAGCCAAAATACTTCAAATGCTGCTTCAAGAGGGAATATTCTAATGCACTGAAACCTCACGTTCAGATTCAACACAACACAGATATCTTGATAAGCGGTGCAAAACATAGAAAAGGCAGAACAAAACACGTATTTATTTCACATTTGTTATTGTAATTTTAGATGATATTCTGTGCTCGATTATTTACAAAAACTTCTCTGGAGGTTGCTGCATGATTCTTCACTGTTTGTTTTTATTTGCAGAAACGAACGTGAAAGCAGCGTGATCTTAATTCAGGAGAGTTAGATGCCCATATGTATCATGCAAGGTGGCAATATTGGCTGGTTTTATCCTTTATTCATTTCTTACATCAGCAAAACTTAAAGTATTGTGTACAATTTCATCATAATAATTTGGTAACTAATTATAGGATCAAATAAGATTTTAATTACATTTTTAAAAATTGCATTTATTTAATATTATTTATTTTTATTATAATAATAATCATAATTATTATTATTATGCAGTGTTAATAAAAACAACTTTAAATTTTTTTTTTGTTGACATGGTGAACATTATGGTACAACAGTATGACTAAATTGTCACATGACTTAAATCGAGCCTTCATGTTTAATTCCGTGTGGCAAACAGTGGTCATTTTGCATTGCATACATAAAAAAATGGTCAGAAAAATCAGATAAAATAATGACTCAAGAAAAAAGTTAATCAAAATTTGTGTTCACTGGAAGGTTAAGTGTATTGCTCAGTGATATATGGTAGTCCACACATATATGAGCATATTTTAGGCAAATTCTATCTTAGGGATAGGCAGCATGTTTGTTTGTATTAAAAAACAGCCATCATAAACTGTTTCCCTTTGAGGTGTTCCACAAGGCTCGGTTCTCGGTCCTCTTCTCTTTTTAATTTATATGCTTTCCATGGGTCTGATTATTCAGCAGCATGCCTTAAATTTCCTTCTACCTCACCACCATTAATTAACAACTGCATTCATGGTCTGAAACCATGAGTGCTTCTAACTTTTTGAAACTAAATACTGACCATTCTGAATGTTTTTTAGTAGATCTTTCATGTACTCTGTACATACTGAAAATGGTATGATTCATACTATGCATACTGCATACTATTAAAAAGATTGTTTTATTTTACTACACTTTTCCTTTTTCACTATAGAGAACTTGTCTGAATAAATGTCATAGCTAATAAATAAATGTTTCTAGCTACAAATATAATGCAAAAAAGAAAAAGAAATGCTCTGTTACAATACAAAATTCATGTCACACAATAAGAGGATCTTTGTTCATTTGAATTTCTGATAAATATTTGTGTTTCTGTGGGGCTTGACATTCTGTCAATTGACGTTGAGACAGATAGACATGGAATTGTAAATGTTATTGAAAAAATAAAAACAATAAAAAAGCTGTCAGCATGATTGACAGGAGAAGAAAATAAAATCTCTGATGCATGACTGAGATCCACGGCGTGACATTTCCACCTGAAATAACCCTTGTTAATGAGAACAGGCTCTTTGTGTATTCTGCAGCCCTCTTTCATGAAAACAATCAGACATTTTTCTGTTTTAGTGTGGGCTGTAAGTTCACACAGACATGGCGAATTACGAAAGTTGTAAGGTAGCTCAATGAGAATAAAAGAATACAATTTAAATCTTGGAACACAATATCAAATATCAAAAAGATTCGTAAAGTGATAACTATTCACTTTAGTAAAACATATTACTCCAATAAGCACAATGTAAGCTGTTTTTGAACTGTCAAGACTACATGTGATCAACTTTATTTGTAATCAGTCTAAATGCATGAACTGTTGCATGACATCTTTCCCTT